GCACAAAACCACCACAAAAAAAGAAAAAAAAAAAAAAAAAGAAAGAAAGAAAAAAAAGAGCTGCTCTCTAGGGGCTGAGCTTGTTTCCTATATAGTAATTTCAGAGAGGTGAATCTTCCACTAACCTGGTTGGCTGACACAAATTGTACAGGGAACAACAGGAGGCTTGTCAGCACTGCTCCAGAATACAAATGAACGTAACAGGCGGATAGCATTAAACTCACCTAAAGATAAAATTATTATCTTCAGTCATTGAGAAAGATGATAACTTAACCACAGGATGTATCGCAATTAGCTTCCTCAGCAGCCTACAGAAGCAATATATACAAATTACAAGATAATCTTCCACAATTTGAAACCATTTAGGATCTTTAGCATCATATACTTGGATCAATTTAAATCTTAAAGTTGCTATCATCTTTCCTTCTTACTCAGAAATAAATATCTTCTCATTTTCTAGTGAAACACAGTAGATGTGTTTTTTATCTGGTTTTACTGTATCATTTCTTTCTTTTAAGTGAGATGGTTGAGCTATTAAACAAACTCCACTGGACTGTGGTTGCAAAGCACAAGCAGCGCTGGCCACCTCAATATCTGTATGAGATTGCCTCTAGTGGCAAGGAACTGAAAAAGATTTTCGCAAAGAGAGAGATGAAAAATTCCAATTGAGAAATAATTCTGCTGGGGGGGGGGAGAAGGGGGAGCAATAATGCTGCATGTAGAAATCTTTAAGCTTTCATCCATTTCTAGGAAGCTAGAATGGGAGGAGCATCCCTCCTACTCCTGAAGACATCTGAAATGTGGGGATATCAGGAAACTACTGCAGTTCAAGCAAGGTTTTGGCAAATTAAAACTTGTCAGAATCACAGCAAACTTCCCGTTGATCTGGGTCCACTTATACTTTCATTACGATGCTGTGCTTCTTTCTGATATTCCCCTTTGGATGTCTAATACTTAAAAACTAGCTCAAGAACTTGAGAGGCTTGATTCTCCGCACCACTTGGGAGTAGCCAAGATATTTCTTTCTATGGCCTTCTCCTTCCTCCTCCTGCCTTGTTTTTGACTTAGCATCTGGCAAAACTGGAAAAACCCTGGGACATAAAAATTCCCTTAACTGTGAGTAAGCCCTCATTATTATGTCTTTCTTTATAAAATGGCTTGTTTGATTAATGCCTGTTTGCATGGAAAATTCTCTCCTCTCCTTTGCTCTCTCCTGCAATTGCTTTGCGTTTTAGTGTCTGCTTTGGCAAGGGGAAAAAGCTGGATGCTGCCTTAAATCATGGCCCCTTTCTGAGATCTGTGGGACTTCTGTTGTTCATTTCCATAGCACCAATATTTGACCCTTATTTTTAACAGCTAGAGCCTCCAACAGTGGCCCACCGCACCACTTTAAGGCTCCGGACTGAATGGCCAAGCCCAAAGTTGCTATTTAAAATACCAGTGATTTTTCAAAAGCCTGTTTAATTCATTAGACTTTATCCAATTCACTCAGCCTTGTTCAGATGAACGCAGTTAGCTGTGTTCTCTCGTGCTTCCTTGCCTTCTACGTGGCAGCACTTTTAACTTTGCACAGAGGAAGGATTTACCGCAAACCAAGTTTAAAAAATAAAAATCCTTCCCTATTGAAATCTGAGGCTGGTACTTGCACCTGTGATGATTTCAGAGTGACTGAATCTTTGCTATAGGAAGTTGACTATTTAAAACCTAAACAGCAGACTAACACTTTTTAACAAAACAGCCTGACTTGAGTTTATGGAAACCAGTACCAGACCTGCAAACATTTATGTATTTGGCAATTACAGGTAGCTGTCTGGAGTCACAGCCAATGGAATTAAACATTGGAGAGATTGTGATTCATGATATAATCTGATTATGAAGCTAATTACACCTCCTGTCATTGTTGACAATGTATGATTATAGAGACAAAAATCTTGGTTCTGCTAGTAGAATTCCATGGGAGGGTATAGACAGAGGGAAAGAAAGAAAAGAAAACAAAAGAAACCAAAACAACCTTCTCATTTAAGAAAAGACGACCTGAGTCCAGAAAAAAGAAGGACAAAAAAAAGAAAAAAGAAAATAATCACACCCGACAAGAACACTGAAGTTACCTTAAAATGCTAAAAGAAATAATACATGGATAAAAAGGTATACAAGGCTATTTTCAATGCATCTCTAAGTAAACTTATAAATGCAATTTTGAAATTTCCAGAAAACTAGAATGGAAAAAGAATTATGAAATAAAATGTTGAACATAGCACACAGTTCCAACTTTGCAAGAAAGGCAATGCATTCCAGTACATCATGCAGATGCCAAGGCTTCTCTCAGACAAAAGCACATCTTTTTTTGAGAATCAGAAATCCTTTTTAGAAGCAAGGACTGGATTCACTACCCCTTGTGATCTGCAGTGTCCTAGTTACATATGTACAGCTAATATAGAAATGTATTTGTAAGCCTTTCGTATTTTCTATGGCATTGCTTAGTCTGTAAGCTCATCCCTTAGTTGCTGATTTTAAAAAAACTTCTCATTGCAATGAAAATTAAGTTAATTTCTCAAGTTACATCGTAAAATCCTGCATGCTCAGAAGGCTATGGCTTTTTTTCTGTAATGAATTTTGTTTTCAAAATCTCAATTACTATGGGACATCCTTCCCTAATGCTAATTGAATTTTAGATATTTTTTCGGATTACAATAAAACCTAAAGTTTAAGGAGTCTGTTTCCCGTGCAACTGAAATTTTTAACAAGACTAAATTTCCTTAAGATGGTAAGTTACTGCACTCATGGGAGAATTTCAGTGACGTTACTGAAAAGGAAGTTTTGGTTGGTTGTGCCTGCAGAGGAAAATAGAGAGCCAAATAAAGTTTGTAACACACACACACAAAATCTGAGAATTTTAGCAGAGAGAGAAAAAAAACTCATTATTTTTGAGCTTTTGATTGGCAAACTGCTACAAAAAAAAGTGTGTACGGAGAGAAATTGTTTTGTGGGTTTAGACATAATATTCTACACTGGTTCCAAGGACCCTGCAGGTCATGCTACAAATCTCACCTATTTGCCCTGACTTATAGATGTTTAAGGGTCTCTGGCAAGAATTAAAGATAGTGGCATGGCTCGCTTTTACCTTTGGTTAAGTGTTGTAAGTTTTCATACAGAGCAGTCATTCTCCCTATTTTCATAATTTCTTTAGCATATCTACAAGACATCTGGACCCTCAGCTTCATCTCTATGCACTCTATAAATGAAAAAGGGACTTTAATTTCTCTTGGTGTAATTTTCTGAATCATCAATAATTACTTCTAGACCACTGCAGATGCACAGTAGGGGCAGGAAGAAGGAGCCTAGATTTTTCTGTTCTCAGTAATGGTTCTCTCCTCAAATTTTTGTATCAATACTGCTGTTAAAATTTTGTTTCCAAATCCACAGCTGAATCTAATAGCTACAAAAAGGCTAATAAAAACAGCACTTAGAAATGGTATCCATCTCTCCTGAACAGAAACTAGTCAGTCCCAAAAACCTGAACTTTTGAATTTAAAAATGTAACTTTACTCGGCCTCCCAGAAAACATAATTGAATTTGGATTCACAAAGCAAAAGGGCAAAAATGGTACGTTGTTTTAGACTCTGTCAGTGTTTTAAATCTGGAAAGTGCTACTCTTTGAAGCAATAAACTAAATTATTATCATTCATATTCTGATCATTCATAAATTCAATGTAAATTTTAGACACCTAAAAGAGGAGGTTCAGGGCGAACTGTGCTGAAGTATGCTTATAATGATCAGTTTTTGGAAGAGTGAAGTTTATTGCATGCACACATTAGCCACTTATTTGCCTAAATGCACGACATCAAAGCCTTACTGGTTAGTCCTGGGAGCAAACTTCTGATGGGTATTTAAAGTGTGACTGAAGATAAATCAATGGGGTTTTTTTTCTAGGAATAATCTTATATCCTAACCATAGAAATGTGAGCTTCCCACAGCCGGGCACACATACAGGCTTAAAAATGCCATTCCCTTTCATGGTTGTAAACCAAAACAACAAATCATTTCAGTAAGATCATTTTCTGTTTTCTGCTTGTTCCTACAAATAAAGAAAGGCATGGGCCTATCCCATTTTCAAACAACAAAAAAATCATTTGGGGATTTAACAATAATTTAATTTGTATTAACCATGGCACAACATAAACATTTTCCTCAAAGCTAAGTACAAACAGCTTACGCACATTTTCCATGTGTGGGTTTTTTTGTGTCTGTGAGCTGCTGAGACTGTTTTCATTAAAACAAAGAAAAAACCACTTCCCGTATGAATCAGAGTTTCATATTTAAACTGCAGGATTCCTCATTTAATGGTTTACTTGTTGATTGAATTAATATGGATGTTTAGAAAAGGTGGACCAACTAGAAAAACAGAGTAAGAGCACAGGGAATACCATTACAGAACAGGGAAGAGTGAGATTCAATTAGCATAGGGCCAGAGCAAACAGATACGACATGAGAACCTGTACTTTTTTGACCCCCTATTTCCATCAATATTAATTTGTGACATGCTTCCACACAAGCTTTGAGGCAGGACTGTGAGCACAATCTTGCTTGGATTTCTTAATGTCAGAAAGAGATAAAACACAAAGTGCATGAGCTTCAGCTGTGGTGGCCAGTCTTGGCACTGTCAGTGTATCTCGTCCAAAAATCTGCCTTAATGAGGCCATATGTTCACTTAAAATGTCCTCACACTTCATACAGCAGCTTTTTTTGTCAGCGAGCTACGTGGTGGGCAGCCTCTTGGAAAGGTGGCAGGATGGGTGGGAAACTGGGTGATAAAGCTGGTGCTGCAGGACAAGGCACTTGATGTAGTTGGGTCACCAAGACCGAGAGAGTTCCCCCTCAGGTGACACTGATAGCCTGTGGGACCCTCAAGAAAGACAGCAGGAGAGTACAGACAGCAGATCTGGACCATGGATTTGGTATCCCTATGTATAGAGCTGAAGGGCTGAACAGCAGGTCTAGACACCAACCCACCCCAAAGCTATAATAAGCTCTACATGACAAGACCTCACTTGTAGGTGTCCAAGGTTTGCTGGACAGCCAGGAGGTTAAGGCACCTTTGAAAATGAGTTAGTCAGAATCTTTAGTAGATAATCTTTGTTCTTGCCTCAGGTGTGGGCTTGGTACAATTGTTTCATCTGAATGTTTTTCCCATTGTAATAGAAATCACCCACTGACTCAAGGATTTTAACTCACTGCTGGTTTTTTGCCAAGAAAGCAGAATCTTTCAGCTTTCTGTGAACTGGAAGAGAGATGTTACAATTAGCCACAAGCAGTATATTGCTCCCTAAATACAAGAGAAAGGTACTGCAATTTGCTGCACAAAGGAAGTTAGTTAAAACCATCGAATCCACACGGAACAGATTTAAACAAAGTGCTCTCTGGTTTGCCAGGACAACAGCCCTGCACACAGACATCACACAAACAGCAAGATGTGTACGCCTGGGTTTTGTTTGATCAAATGAGCAGCACAGCAGGGTCATAGCCGATAGCACCGTTACTTATTTCAGCATCTTGCAACTGGTGTCGACACGCTTTTTAAGCCGTGAGGCATAGAGCACGCGGAAACCCAGAGGCTTTTTCTGTGCCTCTTATTGCTTCTGATGGTGGCATAACCATTTCTGCTGTTAGTACCTATCACCTTTTTGAGGCCAGTGGAGGAGGTTGAAGGTTTTCCACCAACTCAGATTTTATCCTGTTTCCTACAGCACGGCAGGCTCTAGCAATTGTTGTAAAACAGCAAGCCAGTAGAGAAGAAAACACTCTCAGAGTTTTTGCTGTGTTGGATTCTGATCAAACCAACTATGAGACATGGCTGGAGAACCAGGCCCTACCACATCCCAAATAGGTTGTTTCTGCTTCCCATTCCTAGGCCAGCAGCAAAGCCTGCTGAGCATCCAAGCGTCTTACCGTGCTGGGGACTAGGGACTGACCCTGTGAAACTGGGGGTGTGCGGTGGGGAGGCTGACTCCTATCTCTGTGTGCTGGTTCAGAAAAATGAGCCCAGCTCAAAAGAAGAGGCTGGAAAGGAGGAGCTGACAGAAAGGAAGCGTGGTACAGCGATGGAGAGGTGGAGGCA